AAGACGATGGCTCAGGCTGCCCAGAATCGATGCTGATGGCCGGTCTCGGGTCGAAGCGGCCGCTGTCCTGCTGGGTCGAGGCGCCCGGCGCGCCCGCGTGCGAGCGCGAGTGGGTCTACCGGGCCCACGCGCTCCGCGGGGCGCGGCGCGTGCGCGACGCCGACGCCTGCTTCGACGACCACTGCTCCGTCTGCATCGAGGGCGGCGCCCTGATCTGCTGCGTGAGCTGCCCGCGCGCCTTCCACGTCGCGTGCCTCGAGCGCCACGTCGGCGCGGCCTTCTGCCCGGGCGCGCCCGCGCGCGTCGCGGACCTCGGCGACCGCCCGGCGAAGAAGCGGAGGCGCGCGCACGCGGCCGCGGCGCGCGCCGTCGTCGCCGCGCCCGCGGCGGGCGACGACGGCGACGACGCCTGGCACTGCCCCGCGTGCCTGGCGAGCCACGCGGAGACGTGCGTCGTCTGCGGCGAGGCGGGCGACGGCCTGTGTGGAATTCAACCACTGGTTTGGGTGGTCCTGACCAAACTTGAGAATTCTCTAGCTCGGTCAAATCGAAGTCGATTCGGCTGATTTTTGGACGAATCGATTGCTCTCGTCGAGTTCTCGAAGCACAGCAGAAAGCCTTGCGTCGAAACCGTCGCATACGCTCACATTGAAGTCGGGTTGAAGATTTGAATTCCACACAGGCGACGGCGAGACGCGGCTGCTGTGCTGCGACCGGTGCCCGCGCGCGTTCCACGCGAGGTGTGCGGGCGTCGGCGCGCCGGGCGCCGCCCTCGTCGCCGCGGGCGGCCGCTGGCGCTGCGCGGCCTGCGCGGACCCGCCCGCCGGGACCGCGGACGTCGACGAGGCCGCGACGCTCGCGGCGATCGAAAACCTCTGCGCGAAGCTGCCCCGGACGCACTTCGCGTCGCTCTTCGGCAGCCGCCTGGCCCACGTGCGGTCCATGGCAGCGCGGCTGCCGCCGGCCGCGGCGCCGCGCACGGCCGCGGCGCTCGAGGCGGCCCACGGCGCCGAAGGCGTGGCGTCGCGGCTCCACTTCGCACTCCACTTAGACGACGACGCGCCGCGCCACGCGCCGCGGCGGCTCGCGAAGGCGCCGGCGCTCGCGGCGACGCCCGCGGCGCGCGTCTTCGCCGAGGGCCTGGCGACCGTGCCCGGCGCGCTGCCCGCGGCGGCCGTCGACGCCGCGCGGGGTCGGTGCCTCCGCTACTACGACGACGTCGTCCGCACCGTCGCGCAGCTCGAGCTCGGCGAAGCGCTGGAGCAGGGCGGCTTCGCGACGTTCAAGCCGCGCCAGGCCGGCCGCTTCGACATGGTCGTGCCGGACTTGCTGGAGGACGTCGGCGGCGGGCCCTGGCGGCCCGTCGTCGAGGCCGTCTTGGGGTCCGACGCGCGGCTCTGCCACGCGGGCGTCATCTTGGCGCTGCCGGGCGCGGCGGGCCAGCCCTGGCACAGCGACGGCGACCACGTCCACGACGAGTTCCACCTGCCGCCCCACGCGCTGAACGTCTTCCTGCCGCTCGTCGACTGCGGCGTCCGCAACGGCGCCACGGAGTTCGCGCCGCGGACGCACCTCGACTGGCGCGCGGACGCGCGGCCCGTCGTCGTCGAGGCGGCCGCCGGCGACGCGATCGTCTTCGACTGGCGCCTCAAGCACCGCGGGCTGCCGCACCGGGGCACCGAGCCGCGGCCCCTCGTCTACCTCACGTACGCGGCGCCGTGGTTCGTCGACGACTACAACTTCTCCCGGGACCGCTTCGCGGACCTGCCGCCCCTCGTGCCCGCGTCGACGCGCGGGGACCGCGCGAAGCGGCGGGGCGAGGCACCGCCGTCGTAGGGCGCCTTACGTCTACAGCATGGCGGTCGCACAGAGAGCTGCGGCGAAGGACCGCCGTCGTAGGGCGCCTTAAGTCTACAGCTTGGCGCGGTCGCGCGAAGCGCCGGGGCTCCGCGTCCGCAGGTCACTTCGTCAGGGTCGCGGGGTTCTCGACGGCGGCCGCGAAGTCCTTGAGGAAGACGGCGGCGTCGGCGCCGGAGATGATGCGGTGGTCGCAGGTCACGGTGACGGTCATCTGCTTCTCGATGCCGACGCCGAGGAGGGACCCGGGCATGGGCACGACGACGTTCTTCGACGACGAGATGGCGAGGATCGCGCCCTGGCCCGGCGGGAGGATGGCGTCGAACTGGGCGACGTCGAACATGCCGAGGTTCGAGATGGTGAACGTGCCCGTCGTGTACTCCTCCGGCTTGAGCGAGCCGGACTTCGCTTTGCCGACGAGCGACTTCCACTCCGCGGACAGGTCCGCGAGCGACAGCTGGTCCGCGTTCCGCAGCGTCGGCGTGATGAGCCCGCCGTCCAAGGCGACGGCCATGGCGACGTTGACGTCGCCGTTGTACGAAAACGCGCCCGGCTCGTACTTCGCGTTCATCAGCGGCGTCTTCACCAACGCCCCCGCGACGGCCTTGGCGAGGAGCGCGGACACGGTGACGCCGTCGGGCTTGAGCTTCTGGTAGAGCGCGTCGAAGGCGTCCGTGCGCACCGTCTTGGACACGCGGAAGACGGGGACGGCGAGCGTCGCCTCCATGTTCTTCGCGATGGCCTTCTGCATGCCCGTCATGTCGACGACGCCGGCCGGCGGCGGCGCGGGGCCGCCCGCGGGCACGAGCTTGGGCTTCGCGGGCTCCGCGATGCCCAACGCCTTCTTGACGTCGTCCTCGGTGACGCGGCCGAAGCGGCCCGTGCCGGCCACGCCCGCGAGGTCCAGGTTCTTCGACTTGGCGAGCTTCGCGGCCTTGGGCGTCGCCGTCGTCGCGCCGGGCGTCGGCGTCCAGGACGGTTTCGCGGGCGCCGCGCCGCCGGCGGCCGCCGCGACGTCGCGCGCGACGACGCGGCCGCCCGGGCCCGTGCCGGCGACGGCGGCGACGTCGACGCCCGCGCCCGCGGCGACCTTCTTCGCGTAGCCCGACGCGGCGACGCGGTCGCCCGCGGGGGCCTTGGCGGCCGCGGCGGGCGCCGCGGCGGGCGCGGCGGCCGCGGGCGCGGCCGCGGCCGCCGCGGGCGCGGCCGCGGCCGCGGGCGCGCCGTAGGCGGCGACCT